CCCCCCCCCCCCCCAGCCCCGGGGACAACATACCAAAGTAATAAGCGAAAACAGAGCACCAGCACTTGGCTATTACAATTTTCCAATTCTTCGCCGATAATTGCCCAAAATAAGACTAGATAGCCAGACTCAAGGTTGTCAAAGAACGTTAACACAACACGAAAAATCAAGTATTCCTATTTGTTGGAGTGCATTGCCTTCCCTACGAATTCTACCCCGAAATACTTAGTTCGCATAAAGAAGAAAGACTCGAAGAAAGGAAATGTTACCACTTAGTTTTAAAGATCTCTTTTTGGCCCTTTTCTTTATGCGCCTTTTTACTTGAACAAATGTTCTCTTTCACAGAGAACTTAATGATTGCCAAAATAATACTCGCAGAGATAAGATAACAACGGCACTTTAATGGGACTATATTTCACCAGTTTCGTCCTAGAATGCAAATATTGCTAAAACGCTATGAGCTTTAAAAGCTAAAGGCACAATAGTTCTCCCCAAGAAAGTCTTACATTTTTTCGTGGTTGATTAAACTTGCTCACAACCTGCTTTTCGGCAAGTCTGGCGCGCAATTTAAAATAGCAGCAATATAAATCACGTAGCAGAGATCTCCTGCGCGAAGGGCTGGGTTAAGAGTTAAAAGTGTTAACACTCACACGAATGGCTGTTTGTTTATAACTGCTGATCGAGGTTGGTATCTAAGCTGTTAAGAAAAAAAAGTAAAAGAAACGCATCCGTAATGAAACCAATGCCATCCAATTCAATATATACATAAAATAACATCTGAGAAGTTTTATTGAAACCTGTATTTGTCTTCTAGAGGGATCCAGTTGACTCGAAGGCGTCACCATCTCGTCTTCTTCTGAAGAAAAGTAAATGACTGTTAAAAAGAGTTTTAGGATGCCAGGATGTGGTAAGATGATTACATGTTATACAGAAAAACCCTCGAGTAAGAACCTGGTTTTTAGTAACCTGTTTAGCTATAATTTCCCAGTTAGGCCCCCTCTACAGATTTCAGATTTTTTTCACTATTTTAAGAGTTACAATCACTGAATTACAATACATTACAAAAGTAAGAAAAAACAAGACAACAAATCACATAAATCAACAAAGGTGAAATATGCGGTGTGACCAAAGGAGCTTAGGCTTTCGAGTTGGTCACTGCCACCTGCAACTAACTCGCGGCGTACGTAAATATTTACATAAGAACTACAAGTAACGTATAACGGGGAAAGGAAAATTTAAAGTGCATTAAGTTTTAAAATTTTATATAAAAACAACAGAAATGATTATTGATAGTGAGGGCAGAGTAACAGCGTAGTCTGAAATCGTCAAATTTTGTATAAGTACGAATTTTTTCATTTATACTCAGTGCGATACTCTACTGGTGGCATGTTTTCAATTATCGCGGACATTCTGATGCAAATCTGATAGGGAAAATATATAAAGAAGTGTACTTACGGCTGTAACGCTCTTTTTGGATTGGAGTAGAACTTATCTGCGTCCCTCCTTGCGATGACGATGGAGTTGTGTATTGTGATCTTTCACATAGTCTACTGTTACTGGGTGTGCTTGATCTGAGTGAAGGAATTAAAAAACCGTCAAATAAACATTTAAAAGCCTTAGGTTTATCATGAAAATGAATTTAAGAGGCTCTCTTTCCGCCAGCCCAAAACCGATACTAATTTCAGGCAACTGAACGACACTAACAATAACAACTAGGTTCTTTTGAAAGAAAACCAAACCAAAAACAAACCATTAATTTACAACGCAAATGTATATAGCTGAGGCCAAGAGACCAAAAAGGTGCTCAGTTATAAGTAAGCCTATTTATTCTGTGTTGTTAAGAAATTGCAAAATTGTTTCTTTGCTAATAGTCTGTCCTTATTTTTAGGACAAACTGCAGAACCAAGTCAACCAGTCAAACGCGATCAGATGTAAAGCCGTAACAAAACGTAACACATGTGTTACCATTAAAACACGCGGCGGCTTCATAACATTTGAGGCATAATACTCAGTTTTGTTTAAAAGAGTGTCACATGAGAACTGACCTAGTCGACAAAGTAGGCGATCCCATAGACATAGGGGAAGAGGAAACCCCTGCCGCTCCAAGTCCAGATGGGGTGGTTGCTTCATGGCTTCCAGGTGTTTTGGCTGTTCGCATGACGTAAGGTGTCCTTCAAAACATAGGGAAAAATATTTTATCTCAACAGTTTCCTCTTGTTGTGATAAGAAAAATGCCTTCTTGATTTGGCTCTTGAGTTACTTGAGCGCATACTGGTCACCACTCAGTTTCTTTCCTAGTATTCGTTGACTTTGTTTGACCGTTTTTGAAAACAAGTATTTTCTGAAAAGACGCCTAACCTGGCCAGCAAACATAGATTTCAATTCATGAATTACATTTCTTTATTATATGGCTGCAATAGTACGCGCGCTCTGATTGGCTGCTAAGCGGGCATTATTTTCTTGTAACGACGGGGCATTACTACAATTACCTAGGTGTTCAAGGCATATACAATCTGTGTTTAACTTGATAGTGGACATCCTTATGGACATCCATGTTATGGTCAATTGACAGCTGTCAAAAAGGGTATCCGCTGACCAGTGTCACATGACTGTATCACGTACCTATCTAAGTACTGTAGCAGCTGCTCGTAAGATGTCTCCTCATTGGTCGCAGAAAACAATTACACAGCATTGTTTATCATTATTTTCATTCTACTGTTAGGGTTGCAAACTGATTGGCTTTTAGTGTTAGGAGAGCTGCTACCACCTATCTGGGGATTGTTGTTTTCGTGTAGTCATTGCATCGAAAGCCGGAGTAACTTAGTGAATTATTCAAGGGAATGAAAATTTGTACCTGAGCACTGCACCAGGTGTTCCTCCAGCGGAACCTGGGCGCGATAAAAGCTGCTTGTTTGGCGAAGGTGTTTCTCTCACGGTTCCTAGAATAGGGTAATTGACAGTTGTTAGCTAATACATATCCGCTGGCTTTAACGAACTGGGAGAAATTTAGGGTACAGTCCAGCCTCTTTCTTTTCGAAGAGTTAATGTAGTTAATAAAACATACTTTGTACCTTCCGTCACATTACAAACACTATGAAAACCCTTTATTCCGGACATAAATATCCTATGAATCCCGTCTGGTATGTAAGATACCCCACAATGAAAGCACTGGTCAGATTTGTTGGCAGGCGACCAGCTGTGGCCACTAGAACAACGTTATTCCATTTCTGTTTTTTTAATCACTCTACATTCGGACATCCTCAAGTCTTGTACGTATTGTTCTCTTAATTTGAGAAGTTGCTTATCCGTGTTCCTGACCTGTTTGGGGGAGAGTACGTGACATATACATATAAAACAAGCAATTTTTGTGTCTATGAATCTTTGAGCATCATGGAAAACCAAAAAAAGTACGTACCCATATAGCCATTATAAGGTGGTGTCCGAACAGACAACCTCGTAGGGCCTGCAGGAGTACATGGCATGTGGTTCTAAAGACACAAAACATGTTGTCAGACGTACGAGAGTGTTTTATACTTG